TTTGCCATTATTTGAATTAGATAAACTACTGTGCGTATAAAGTTGACACGAAAAGTTCAGATACCAACAATTTGTAAGATAAAGGACACCAACGAAATCATTGGAGGCTTTAATCCTATGGATTGGTACAGTGCACCGGCTCCTGGAACTTATAGTAAAACACGGAGGAGTTTTATATTTTCGCTCAATCTGAAAGATTTGAACAAATCAGTTTTCAGTAAAGTGATCGATGACAAGCATGCGATATTTCAGCATAGAGACTTTGGTCCATCCTTTGGTTTAAATAAAGGCGACCTGAAGTTGTATAGCATGAATAATAAATTGTGTAGTTGTTCCAAAGTAAGTTACGAAAAGAAGATTAGAAAAGTAATTACGGAATTTGCCTTGGAAGAATATGAAGTTTGGAAGGTAGTTACTGTAGCTGCTTCATAACATTCTAGTCCCCCTTTAAGATGCAACTAATCTCAAGGATGAGAATCACATTTATCACAATTGCCACAATGGATTGTAATTATTTAAATCAGCTAAAGAAAGTTATCTGGAAACAAATAATCAAAATAGGTTAAACAAAATCAAAAATTTATAATAGAACCTTATTGAAATATTTTTCTTTGGTTTGTATTATTTTATTTTAATTTGCAAAAATATCTTTATGAAAAGATATTAGCTTTTCAAATTATCAAGTTGTATAAATTATTGTTTTTAATTAATTTTGAATGTTACATCTCTATAAAATTATTATGAAAAAATTATTCGACATATTCAATTTTATAAATTAAATTTTTTTAATCGATTAATTACTACTGTTAATTGCATTAAATATATAATAAAGACTTTATATTTTTCTTAATAATATTGATTTTAAAATTTTTGCTTATTATAATTAATTATATAATAAATCAATTATTCATAAAGAAAATTATTTTATACGCATATTGTTTAAAACGCCTTTGAACAAATATGTTTTATAATCAACAAGAAACTTTAAAAAACCATGTTTTTTACAATGTGAAAATAATGCGTAAATTTTTTAAATGATTTGTTAATATAATAAAATTAAAATCATAATATATTGTATATATTGTACAAAAACAAGAAGTTGATTAAGTGTCATAAGTAATATTGCAATTTAGCTAAAATATTAGAAATATATACTATATATATATAATATATAAAAAAAATAGTAATAATAATAAAGAAATAAATAAAAAATTTTTATATCACATTTAATGTTTCTTTTAACATTATACAATTAACAATTATAATATAATAACAAACTTATTGATTATATTTAACAATATATATACAGTATATATATATTGTTTATTTGTAATTTAACGAATAATTAATAAAATAAAATAAAAATTTAAATATATATTAATTTTTTTTTAATTTGACTTATAAAGTTTACTTTCTAATACTTTATTTTAATAATATATAAATCTTTATTATATTAATAATTTTATTTATTATCTAAAATACCATCAAAAAATTATATAATTTAACTCTACATTAATTTGAAAAAATCCATATTATTCAAAAACAAAAGCTATTATATCAAGATTTTACTTTTGAAAAGTTTAATTAAAAATTCTTTAACAAAATTATTTCAAAATTTAAAACTTATAATTTAATAGCATTATTATTATATGTTTAAAAAAAATTCAATTTAAAATCTCTTAATAATTTCTGATTAAAATTATTAAAATAAATTAATTATTATTAATTATGATTATTTAAATTATTTAATTTTTATTATTTTATGGTTTAAAAATATTTATAAAATTTATAAAAGAATTAATTATTTTAAAAAACTTTTTTTTTATTATTTTAAAGTTTTATATTTTAATTGTCTTTTTAAAATAAACAATAACTTTAAAATTTTTGTTAAATATTTAAAAAAAAAACAAAAAAACCATTTAAATTAATATAAATAATATTATATTGATTTAATTTTTTCTTTTTCTTTTTGATTTTTATAAAATATAAAATATCAAAAAGTATAATATTATTTATTTATATATTATCTTTTAAATATGTCCTTTATTTTTTATTTATTTTATATAGAATTATTGTTTAATTTAAAATTTAATAATTAATTATTAATAGATTTAATATAATATAATTTTTTTCAAAATTTTCAAAAAATAAAAAATTACAAAAAAAAATCTAAAGTTTAATAAAATTTAATTTAAAAATTTAATTATTAAATATTATTTTTAAATAGTTTTTAATTTATGTATATTATATTAATAAAAATGATATTTTAATATTTATCAAAAAGATTTTTTTAACATTTTAATATATACTGTATACTGTATATACAGTATATTTAGTTTTAATTAACATTTTTCTATGAAATTAATTATTACTAAAATATTAATATAGTATTTATGATATAACAAAAAAAAGTTTTTTTATTATCAAATAGTTGCTAAATATTTATCCAAAAAGTAAATAACTTAATGTTAAACTATAAATTATTTTTTTAAAATATACAGTATTTGTTTATGTTTTCTTTATTAAGTAATTATTTATTTATATAGGATTTGATGATTTTAATCATCATATGGAAAAATTTAAAGTGAATACATGGCAGAAACTTATCTAACATAACTCAAAGGAAACGTACCGAAATAAATGATATCCTTTCTGAAAGAAATAATTATGTTGATATATTTATATTAGATTGTTACAAAAAATTTACATGTACAAAATCCCGGATTTCAATAAATATTAAATATTGTATAAAATGTATAATGTAATATCGCTATAAATATTTTCTATCTATATCCTCTTAAACAGTAGGGAGGAATTCTAACCAGATGGCATGCCATCTTTCTATATTCACATCATAAGTAATTCAAAATTTCGTAAACCTCGGCCGCCACATCAGTGCTCTCCATCTTAATCATCTCCACCTTGATTTCACCTTTGATACACTCTTCAGCCATATATCTCTTCACCTCAAAGTGTTCGCTCTTTTCACCAGTCCGTGTGAATATTATGTTCGGCAAATGTAGTCTCTTAAAGTTGATAAAACTACTCGTGTATACTGCATTTGGATGCGTACTCTCATTTACATATTTCTTTTGAGAAGTAGTTTTCCTTCGCTCAAGCTTCCTTATTTTCATCTCATCTGCCTCCTTGAACTGTCTCGATATGTAACTTCCTGGCACAAACATCACTTTCGATAACCATTCTCCCAATGTCATGTACAATTCTTCGGCACTTGGCCTCTCAAAAGGATCCTGGCTCCAACATTTTCTCATCAATTTTACAACAATCTCGGGTATTGTTGGTTCATTTTCTCTATTTGTTTCGGGTGTTATTCCATTGCAACATATGTCAATAGCAAGTTTTACGTCATGCGCGCAATTCGCGAATGGCATTTCAAGCCAACCAAGTTCCCACATTATTGTCCCGAAACTATAGACATCAGCAGCTTTCGTATATGGTTTATTACGCAGAACCTCGGGTGCTATAAATGGCAAAACACCAAATGTTCCGCCATTTCCATAATCTTCATTTTCAAAACCATCTTTATCATCTAGTATCTTTGAGTTAACATTCTCTACTTGATACTCAATCCCGAAATCTCCCAACAATATCTTTGAGAAATGCATCAATACATTACCACTGTGTAAGTTCTTATGCATTAAATTATTCTTGTGTAATCTCATGAGTCCGGTTGCTATTCCGTATAATATGTCCAATCGTTTTTCCCAGGTCAATATTTCAGAGTTCTGTTGGTAATATCTCCGAATATTTCCATGCTTAGCATGTTGGGTCACCAGCATGTAGTCTTTAGTCTTTGGGTGCTGGGTAATACCATGGCACCGAGTGATGAATACTCCGCTATTGTTATCGGTGCGAAGTAATTTGCTTAACTATAAAATTTTAAAGATAATCGGGTTATCGCGTGCATGTTATTATACGCGCGGGACAGGAAAAGGGCTTACTTACCTCATCAAAAAATTCATAATCCACATTTTTGGAGTTATTAAATCTCTTCAACGCTACCTTCCACTGTCCACACCTCACATATTGCGATTTTTTCTGATCCCACTTTTCACATGGTCCATCTAACCATAAAGCATGATATACCCTTCCAAACCCACCCGACCCAATATATGTTAGATCACTAAATCTATCGTATGGTATCCACTCTAAATAATTGAATCTACTCATTGAAGCCAGTTGGCTCTCCAATATTAACGAATCAATATTGTCATTTCCGCTCGTCCAAGTTCCAAAATTTTCCTCAAAGATTTTGGATTGACATGGGGTACACCATTGCGTGAAATAGCCGAATTCTACTATTGGACCTTTGCAAGTTGAGCACTTGGCTGATGATGATTGCAAGTCTTTCTTCTTCGGTATTTCTTTCTGTGTTTTGTTTGTGTCTTTATGTTTAAAATGTTCGAGCCTCATTGGCGCAGAACTTCGTCGCTTTTTTTCCTCCGCAGGTGACTTTAATTCGTCTGAACTTAAATCATCATAAAAGGTATCATCATCATCATCAAATTCTCTATCCGATTGAAACATTCCATTCTCCATTTTGTTGAAACGGCGCAAATTTTTTTTGTTCAATTTTTCGTTAAGTAAAGGCTCTACTATTCCAAACCTCCTTGGGTCTGCGGCGCTATTTCGAAGAGGTTTATCAATTTGCGATTGTTTAACTGGAGGGGGAGAAATGTGTTTTTTCCATTCTGCGAGGTCAAATTCCGCACGGTAATTTATCGAACCTCGGCCAAAACTATTATATCTAATTTCACGTTCGCTGGTTTCATGCGGTTTCACCCAACTAACTTTATAGGGTTTACGTGACATTGATTTTTGGTATTCGAAACTAATTTCTTCATTCTTGGACTGGGTAATCAAATCGGTAAATGTTAGTGAAATAAAAGAAAATGGGTTTTTTATGATAATTCGAATATATCCTTTACCTTGCCAAACCATCTTAAGACCTTACTTGGGGCCATGAATATATCTGACTTAGGAAATAAGTTGAAAAGATTTCAAGTATTTATTGAAAATTTGGAATTTGGTATAATTAAATCTTCGATTCTTTCTCTCAAACGTTTTATTTACATTTATGATATACGCTGATTATTAACCAGAAACTTCCACAAAAAAAAAAAAAAAAAAAAACCACAACAAATTGCGCTAAAAAGTAATTTGTAAGACTTTATGTAGTGTCTGGGTAGCATTTTCCTTCGGAATCGTAGATGGTGCCCCGAGGTACTGAAGCACAGAAAGTATTCATTGTCACATACGTTGTGTACATACAGATTGATTTACATTAAAGAAAATCGGCATTAGTTAAAGTACTACCGATACGCACTAACAGGGAAACCCTTTGAATGTATATGTTTAAGTAAGGAAATCCATTCCCTCAAGATGGTTGTTTTTTAAACATTCAAAACTACTGTGACACCCAAACGTCAATCCAGAATAACTTGCACCATCTATTTTAATAATGTTTATTATTTGAATGAAGTTTGGTCTCTCTCATTTGTATAATGTACTGACTAATACAAATATCTATACACTCAACTTTGTAACACGTTAAGTACGCCAACTCTTGTGTAAAAGTTGATGGTTCATCAAAAGATAAAGAGGTCTCTTCTATATTAATAATTGATGCCTCAATCATCGCTTAAATTGGTGATATGGATTTTTTGAATTTGGAGCGATCGTTTCGTTCACGCAACTTTGCACGCTTGAAATATAATTTAGCCAGAAACACGACTGTGAAATATTGTCTACATAGAAATATGTATAAATATATTGGTGCAACATTATATTTTAACACTACACGAATCAATGAAACCGTAACAAATCTGTTAGGAAATACATGGTTGACAACATTTTGAATCCTATCTTTTCCGAAAATTTTGCAAATCGTACTACTGTATTTATTAGTTTTTTAAGATGAATTTTATTTGTTTGTTCGATAATTTTGTAAGAACATTTATAACAATCATAATGATTATAATTCATGATATATTAATCGATTATTAAAACATTGTTAAGAAGTTAATTTTTCATAATAAGTTATTTCTTTTTTAAATAGATATTTGCAATTTCTTTTTTCTTAAAGTAGGCAAGCGTATTTGCAATAAGTTAAATGATAGCTTGTCTACAGTAATCGTTTAACCTATATTGGAAAAAAAATTGAAAATGTATAAAGTTGGTTTGAAATAGAAGATCGATTAAAATACAGTTTTTTTTTTAAAAAAAAACAGACTTATTATTAGTATTGAAAACGAGTTTAAATAATTTTACATAATAATAATATTATTAAAAATAAATAAATATATAAAATACAATAAAAACATTGTTATTTATTTTATCTCATATTAATAAATTTCTTTCTAATTTAAATAAAATTCAAACCTTTTTATAATTACCAATATACTTATTTCTTATTGCTTGTAACTATTAAATAATATATAGTTTTTATAATATAATTTGAATTTAACTTGAATCAAAATTTAAAAATATTACAAAAAAAAAACTCTTTCCCACTCCCCTTTCTACGCTTGAAAATTTCCTTTTTAGGAAATTTTTGAGTTGTTTACTTT